CTTGATCTATAAATTATTGAAGAACTCATACAACTACTGCGAGGAAACAAAGCAAATCCACTCCCCGTCGATGAAATGAGCTCCTGACTGTGCTCCTCTCTCATTACTCTTCAGATCAAGTTTGAATTTTGCTGGTTTCCATGAATCTTCGCTATGTAACCGGAAAAATAAATGAACTCAGAACAGTCTGACAGCTGGGAACGCCTCATTACAGTGACGATGCTTTAATTGTTGTTAGTTGATAGCAATGCAGGAAAATAAAGAAATAAAATGCATCGACTGTCCTCGTTCATAAAGCTTACTGATGTAAAGCAAAGTGTCAGTCTTGAAACGAAGCTGCAAAGATTTCCAGGTATGGCAAAAATGTAACTTTCATGTCAACCAGAAACTTCAAATTTCATAGTGATTAGGCTAAAGACAAGACTCAAATGAGATCTAAGAAACCCCAAGGAAGACTTGGGCTGCAATAGACACCTATGATCAAAACTGATAAAGACAGAACATAACCTTGTTTAAGGGCTCCTTATCCCCAGAGGCTTCTAAACTAAGTAGGAATGTCCTGTTTGATCTTAGTATGACTACAGTTTTGCTTCTGGGGATGTAAAGGGTTTCCTTCAGATGGCTAGATAGACTTCAGTCTCTCATTAGAGTTTAGAGGATCTGTGAAATGGATGTGATTAGCCAGCAGCGTGATCTGACACACGGGAGTGTGGTCCTGAAGCCCCTGCACTCTCTTTTAATTAGTAGTCACACACTAAAGCAGGATGCTTATGCTCTTTGCAACCCTGATTTCAATAGGATCAAACTCACATCTTCCAGCCCCAAGAGAGCACAGCAGGGAGCATCCCCTGTTCCTGGCAGGGCAAGCAGGGTCATTCCTTACCTGGCATTGGGAAGTGCATTGAGCAAAGCCCACTCACTCCTTCCCTCCTCAAGCACAGCTGTGGAACTTGTAAATTCATTCAGTACAATGTGCTGGCTGTAAGGAGCTCCAGCAGAGCTGCACTGCATCCCAGCCCCTCCAGCTTGCACGTCTTACTGGCTGGTGAAGGCAATCCCCAGATTGGCAGCATACCTCTTTGGAATCTGCTGCCAGATGCCACGTGGTTTCAGTGCACTGCAGTGGAAACCTATTAAATAAGGGAATTTTGCCCATGGGGATCCTTAGCATCGAAGATTGCTATGGTGGTTGTCAAGAGGCCTGACTTAGTTGCTTCTGTTTTCAAAAGACCCTGTCATTTTCAGTACTGCCTCAAGTCTTGCTACAGAGGCCATACAGCAACTGCAGTAAGAGTTGACTTTGCAAAGAAAGAAACAAATACGTTCTTAAGCTTCCAACAGAACAATTACAGAATCCAAGTGCAACAGCATGAAACCAAATGCCTAGAAAAGTTTCCAGGCTTACCACAAGCAGTAATAGATTGAGTTCAAATTTGGCATCCTGGCACGCTCCCTTACAAACCTTCCTCTTCAGCTTTCCTGTCTAATTTTCTGTGAGCAGATCGTGCAGTGTAGTTGTCAGTGTGGATTCACCATCAATGCATCACGTTTCCCCCGAAGAAGCTTCTAAATCAATTTTAATTCCAATAGGCTTAAGGCAATTTGTTTTCAATTTGATTAATTAATCTGTACATGTTTATAAAATGGCCTTTTACCCCCTCATGTACTACAGTATAACCGTGTTTTATATATCTGAATGCCCTGGCTAATAAGAACTTCTTTTTTCCCCCAACAGGAATGCTACAAACACGTGATGTTTATTCACTCACTCAGTGAACCAGATGACATAAACAAGCAAACAAAAAAAACTAACTAGAATGTTATTTGTTGTTATTCTTGAAGAATCCATGATTTCTGGCAAAGATCACACACCAAAAGGAATCACCAAGAAAGTCCGAGACCAGAGCTTTCTAAATCTCCTGAGGATTTTGCATGATTTCATTTCACAGACCAGCATGAAACCTCTTCAGGACGCCTTTTAGAATTTGACCAAGTTCTTAAAAACCGTGGTTACAACACAGCTACCAGCAGATATCAGGCAAGAGTGGCACGAAGATTAGAGCTGGAGGTTGGGGTTGGCAGCAATATAATCTCCTCTAATAACATCGAGTGCGCTGTAAGCTCATAAGATGGAGTGAAGTGAAGGAAGGAGGGTTGTGCAGGTCACAGCAAAACATGGGTCCCCAGCTGCTCAACACCTTGACAATACACAGAGCAAAAAGCAACACCTTCCAGTCAGTTAAATTCCTGCCGTGTGCTGAGAGCACGAGAAACTATCTTTGCCAGAGCCCATCAAATTCTGGAGCATTTATTCATCAGCCAGGTCAATATAAGGCAAAATAAGGACTTGGCTTTCAACAACCTATTTTTAAGATTACCCACGGTGATAATACTATGATTAAAAAATTACAGTTTGATGTTATCTGTTGGTATTGAACTTCTCTATAGAACACTGGAGTTTTACAGCTGGATTTTACTTAAATGGCAGCTTCCGAGATGATTTCACATGTAAGTTTTTTCCTAACTCTAGGAATTCTCTTACTAATAGAACAGAAAACTGCCTTACAAACCAGCTCTGATGATAACAGAAAGACCAGAGACTTGCAGGAAGGACTTTAAGACCCAAGGCTGTAAAAAACACTATGTCAAATGAGAAATGTTTTAAATAATCACTTGTAAGAGAATTGCTTTGCATATGACTGCAGAAAGAGACCTTTGTTCTGAAAGTAAGATCCCATAAAATCCGTATCCAAGCAGGAGCATTAACGCCACACGCCCCATCTGCAGCACAGATCTTCAGCACGGGATACACCTGCAGGAGTCATTCGACAAGGAAACTCTTATGAAGTTCACTGCTCTGTCTCAGTGCAGTGCTGTTACTGCAGCTGGCAGGAGAACCCCCAGATGGGCAGAAATGAAGGGTAGGAAGATCCTCCCTCCCACCTGTTGAACAGAACTAGCTGTATGGCTCTTGCGGAAGTACAAAACCTGAGCCACTGAAAATACATCAGAGCTGAAAGTTCTGTTTACAAAGCAGAGAGTAGTTTCTTGGGAGTATTCAGCTCTGTTGAATAATCAAACTCGCTGATGAGAGACACAAGAAACCTCATGCCAGTTCTTGCTACCTGCTGCTGCTTGCTGTAATGAACTCAGGAAAGAAGCCTCCTGCTTGCCACACATCCATCATTCACACTTAACAGAGAGCTCATTTGTTGAAATACACACAAATACACACAACCCAGCAACAAACAAATGAACATACCAAGTTCCTTTTGACTTTTCACTGCATGTGATTGGAACAGCAAACACTGTCAGAACTGTACACCTCATCTGTCCGAAGCACTCCATGTACAGCGAGGCTTCCAGAGGGCTGGATGTGAGCAGATGTGCCCACAGCACTGAGCATGATCATTTCTGGAGATGCACTGCTGCACACTGTCCCTTCTAGCTCTTTAGACACTTCTGCCTGCTGCAGAGAGCTCTGATTGCTGCCACAGAATGTATTTTGTGCTTTTCCTCAGCAGCAAAGGTAATTCTCAGACTTTCCATGTGGGGGCTAGAATCAGATTTTGTGCAGAGCATCCTGTTATTATGATCTATGAAATTTTATTAACAAACATCGAGTTGCTATAACAGCTGTTTGCTCTTTGCAAAACTTTCACCCTCCAGCAGAAGAAATAACATAGGAGACCCACATCAAAAAGATGTTATCTCTGACATAAAAAAAAACTGATATTTTCAAATTTATCAGTTTTACTTTCTCTACTTGCCTTGATGAGCTTCTCCCTCAGATCACACTCCCGTCTACATCAAAGTTCCCCTATTTATGTCTTCCCAAACTACAGCTTCTTTTTATCTCAAATGAACCACTTCTTCCATGTGATTTGAAGCCTACAGCAGTAAGGACCCTAAGCCATCCACTGAAATACATCTTTAAACCATTCCATGGCTGCAGCTTTTACAATAGTCTAATATCAAGATCTCTGATACAAAAGCTATTCCAATCACAAGGTCTTCACCAGCTTGGTAGAATCACCACAGTAAATGGTGTAGCTGCCCAGAAGTCAAACAAGTTATTTATCAGATACCTAGCATGATTTTAATTTGCAATGCACACAGGTTTCAATCTTTTTCTCTCAAGTACGAAAACTGTTAGATTATTGAGTTGGTTTTGCTGTTTTACTACTTGTCCTTTTAGCTTTAGTAATGCACGTTAAATTCAGCTTCAATCTCAATGACATTACAAAACAGCTACAATAAACAACATGAATTGCCACTGGAATTCAAGGTCTTGGTTTCCAAGTTCAATGGTATTAAAAAAGAAGAGCAATAAAAACACCAACAGAAATATAAGAATAAAAATCTCCACCAAAGTCTTACAGAACTCCTATTCAGGAGTTCATACAAACACACATCTCATGCTTATCAGTCCAAATAAGTGCCCTAGAATCTAATGTAAATTTGTAGTTATAAATCTGAAATCCCCCAGCATGCATTTATTCGTATCTTCTCCTTAATTCTCTGGGTCTTCCTTCTCCTTTTCTCTATTTCCTTTACTGGACTGATCTCCCTATAGACTGCTACTGAGTTTTCTGTAACTTCACAGAATGTCAGCAGGACTGAAACTTCAGCAACAAAGAGCCCATTTAAGTTCTGGTTAGTTCAAAATGAAGTAGAAACAAAGACTTTAGAAGAAAATGTATTTATCAACAAAGCAAAACAGCTATCTTTTGATAAAAGTCGTTTTGTTAGCCGTGTTTCCATTTGTGAAACAATTGCAAGTAAAGTAAAAAGTAGTGGAGGGTAACAGAATTTCCTCCTTCCAATTTAAACATATTTTAGTAATATAGGATTTGATTCTCTGACATTATACGTTCTCAGACCAGCCAAGACTTCCACTCGACTTAACAACTTTTCTTTCCATGGAGTGCATAGACAACAGAAGAACCATAGATGCATAAAAGGTGTTAGGAGATACATAAAGAGAAACCAGACGTTACCTTTCTTTTTGGAGTCTTTCTTTGTGCTGGTTTTAACAGCCACTTGAATTTCTGTCTCAGTTGACATCCTATATCCTTAGTCCTCTTCACACAGATCCAGTATCTCGGTCAGGCTCATTTAGAATATGTCTCCAAGAGAATAATTGAGCCTTTCAGACACTACAACCCAAACAGTTCATCTCATTCAGTCCCTTCGAGTGCTGTTAAAAGAAACAAAAAGTAGCAGTCATTTTCTGAGTTTAAAACATGAATAATAATAATAATAAGGCATTGCAAGATTACTGAGAGATGTGGTTAGTAAGCATGATGGTGACGGGTCGACAGTTGGACTTAATGACCTTAGTCGTCTTTTCCAACCTCATGAAGCCTATGAAATTCCCTATCTACAGACAGAGAATGCCCGATTCCACAGTCTGCATTTGTAAATGATTAAACACGGGCATTTATGGCTGTTGGAGATGTCTCCAAGGGTGAGAGATAACACTAGAAGTGCACAAAGCCCCATCCTTCCAAGCCAGCAGCTGGAGGCCAGGGATTACATTCTGGGAAGTAGATGGCAGTGTCACCAACAGCAACAAATTCTGCGTCTCAATTCTTAAATGGTGCAATTACAGGGTGAAAACATCTTGCCAGATATTAAACTCACATCTGTACTCCTCAAATGCTCTTTCAATACTTCCATTCTATTACTTGAACAAAGTCAAATGAAAAACGTACACATCTGTTGTACTGAACACACAATACATCTTGCTTATGATAATGTGCATGCTTCAGGTATAAAAGAATCTGCCTCTGTTTAGCAAAGTTGAAATTCCTTACACCCACCTAGCACTTATTCCTTCAAATACCTATCTGTAAATACACACCTTTGAAAATACACTTAATTCAACTTACAATTTACAGAAGATTTAAATGCAATAGGACTACTTCCAAGGGGCAAAACGGTAGCATTTGGGGAAAGCTATGTTTATCGTTGGTGAGATGCAGAAATGCTCCGGCTGTGAAGCCCCAGCAGATGTGTGCTGGGGAAGCTTGGGCTGCATCAGCAAGCAATAAGCAAGGATTAAACAACTCAGTGAAGACTAAAGCATTGCTCCAGCTCTTCCTGCTCAGAACAATGAGCTGCCTGCTCTGTCGGCCTGCTCAGGGCAGACCACGCTGTCCCAAAGCCATTTCTCACGATGCTCCCTCATTGAACACTTCATCTTGTCCTTCTTTTGGAGAAAGCGTTCTCCATTATTAGTGCAATTACAGTGAAGTCCATCTGCACTGTCTGAACAGGTGCCCGGTTATTAAATAAGCATTTAATAAAGAAATTAACCCAGCATATCGGCTGGTTAGCTGGCCAGAGATTAACGGCAGTTAAATACATTTGCTAATGGCACTTCTCAGTAATTTAAGGAAGTAATGCACTTAAAAATTGAAATAACTTGGACGGTTTAAATCACTTCCCACAGCAAGGGCCATGAAGCCACTCGTACTTTCAAATCCAGCCTGTGAAAAGTCACATTTTAAAATGCTTCAGTAACATTACATTGCCACGCAGCCTGTGAAGTGATTTAATATAGCTGAAGTGTGTCAGGGGTTTTCTTTAATAAGCTCTTCAAATCTGTATGCCTGTTACAGAATATTCAGAGATAGCTTTTCCAAATCTGCTGAACTGATTTCAAAAGACGAAATTCCGCATTTCTCCTCTGTGGAGTCTGAGGAATAACAGAAGAGCAAAAAGGAGGAAGAAAAAAACCAATCAACTTACAAATCTAAGCTGGAGTGCTTGCTATACACACCTTCTCAAAGTGCTTTAATAAACTAAAAACGTTTATTGTTGGTGTTGCTAGTTAAGAAAACAGCAGAAATGGAAATGCAAGTGAAGGCTGACCGAGGAGAAATGGAGGAAGGCAAGGAGTCCACAGGCAGGGGCTTGTGGGACTCCTCTGCAGGAGCCAGCTCTGCACCAATCCTTGCAATCCCCCAGCAAACAGGGAGAGAACAGATGTCCCCTGCTGCCCACATCCCCATCCCCTCCCCCTGCACAACCCCATTTCATATTCAGCTTTACAGCACAGTAGGGATGCATCAGCTTTTCCAGCTCAGTGGCACTTACTTAAAGCATCTCTCAAGTCACAGCTGGATTGACAGTTTATTTTTCTAGAGTTTGGGTTTATGTTTTCCTAAAGGTTAGCTGGCATGAAGCACCAAGAGGAACCGCCTGACAAAAGGAAAATATTTCTAATAGGTCCCTTTACAATAAAATCAGAAGAAAGAAAAATTTAAACGAAATACAAACTACCCACAGGGTCAAGAGTTAAGCAAGTTTCAGAGTCCTAAAGGCTGTGTTTGGGTACAAAGCACTAAGAATTTCATCTCCTCTTGTCAGCTGCTATCAACAGAATAGCTGGAGCAATAATATCTGAACAGCACTGAATATTTTAAGACAACAACGTATGAGTGCCATCTCATTTGAAACTCTCCAGAAAAGCTATATCCCCTCGAGGCTCTCCCACTGAGTAATATTTTAAAAAATAAATGCGTGTCTATTTTTGGACAGGTTCACATATTGATTTACTTTAAAACCTAATCAGGTCATACTCTCCCGGGCTCAGAGATCCTTGAATAAAGCAATAGACATCTTTGTAACAGGAACACATAAACATCTGTCAGATCAAGCTACAGTTCAAACTGAATTTGCTACAGCGACAATTCCTCCCAAAGTATAGGCCTTTATGTAAGCTACGTTAGTAAACTTCCATACCCTGTCCATATTTCAGTTGTTTATTACCCAGATGAGAACAGCAGTCAATCTGCTCCTCACCGCAACAGCTTTTATTGTCTCCTCCAATCTAGGTCACTGCTGTTAAATACTACAGCCTCCCAACTGTGGCGAGTACTGCAGCATGTGTTCTAGCAATGAGATGCCACAAGCCTCGAGCAGCTCTGCCACGTTTCCCTGCTCTGAAGGGAAAATTTTGTTAGCAGCATTTTTAATAATAATAACAATGATATTAAAAAGCTCTAATCTTGAATGTAGCCGCTCTTAATGATCTTCTTGTGCGCCTCGCTCCTGTTCCAGCTACTACAATGCTATGTGCATGCCTCAGCTTTTCCTAAAGAGGATTCCAAGCTCTTCGTTTTAACAAAATACTGACATTCTCTATTCCCTTATTAAGTGGATACAGCAAGAACACAATCGGTGCATTTTGGAATTAACTGGCTTTTAATTCCAAGAGAAGTCTTAAGCCTGCATTCTGTATTACTCCTACGCCAACGTAAGACCTAAAGCCTCAGTGAAGAAATACTTCTGTAGATTCCCTCTGCTATCAGGATTAGCACAGGTTGAACCTCCCATTCCTCAGCTGTGTGTGTGTGTAAAACCACGATTTCTGCACAATTCTTCGTCTTCTTGGCCACACTCCACTGAGCTCTCAGAGAGCCTTTAAGGTGGGCTTCCCCCGTCCCAAGGGACAAGAGGTCACAGAGCATGATCTGAATGCTTCCCTGTGGCTTCAGGGCTTCAAAACTTCAGAATTTCCCTCTCTTAAAAGCAGCTTCTATCTGCTTATGTAAAGGAAAAGCAGCCTTAGGAAGGCTTTGTAACTAAGCCCTGGCATTCCCTAGGTATTTAGGTTCTCCATGGCCCCAGAGTGGGATCCAGCAGGTCCTTCATGAGAGGTTGGCACCTCCCACACAGGAGTTTGACAGAAATCCTACTGCCATCCTCAGCTCTTACTTTTAGATGCCTGCAGCTTTGAAATTCCTTTCCTCCAAAGCATCCCTATAATCACCTGAAAAGAATATGAATGCACATACTTTGCAAGTGTAAAGCAAAACCTGAAATATCGGAAGGGCAAAATATAAGTAATGAAATTATTTTTAAAAGACCTTTGAAAACTGGAAACAGCTCAAGTGTGAAGGATTGCTACCCAGGGACAGAACTGTTACTCAGAGGCTGAGCACCTGAGCACAGAGCCTCGCATGGAGACCTGCCCACAGACGGCACGCCACACCAGCTCCATGCTGCTGCAGGAGGTTTTCTATCCTTGGATTTCCCCCCCCAACAAGATGAGTTCCTCAAATCTCCAGTTCTTCAAACCCCTGTTTTCAAAATAACCTTCAGGCAACTGTGGCCCATACCAGTTTATTAAGTTCTTTGTGGTTTACAACGTCTCATTACTCTGTCTCTAGGGCATCTCCAGGCATGCTATGTGCTCCTTAGACAGTGCATGCAGCACTACTGGAGCTGATTTACAACAAGAACAGCATCTTGCCAAAAAATTGACCTACAGCTTATTTCCAAAGTGAGATGTTTATTAGTACTCCAATGACAGCAGGAATAATTACTGAAATTCCTCCTGGAAATCACTCCTTGTAGTGGCAAATACCGCACTTCACGGCTTATTCACCAGAAGTGCTGCAAATTTCCTTCTCTTAGAAAATGCTGACTGGATGAAATAGACACTGTTCACACGAATGAACTGATTTCATAAACATTTTGAATGGGAAATTACTGAGAGTTCCATCAAATATAACAGTTTCTATTTTATAACACATATTCTAGAAAATAAGTGCAAAGCAAAAGAGACTTCTGTAACAGAGTTTGTGAGATATGCTTTCAAACTTTGGTGCTCGTGACAAACTACACAATGTCAGCTCACCATTTCTCCAAGGAAGGATATTCAGATACTTTTAAAGATGCAAAGAGAAAAAGCACCAAAGAGATTTGCACCAATTGGTTGGAAGACCAAGAGAAACATATTGGTACTTTTTCTTTCAGCGCTTTCAAACTGAAAGTTGCTCTCAGCCTGATTTCCAACAGCCCAGCACCAGCTTCAGCTCTGGGGCACAGCACCTACCACCCCTTCCATGGGGTTTGCTACCAGCTGTCCCCTCATTCAGACTTTCCTCTATGCACATACTCCTTTGTTGACCCCAAGGCAGAGAAGATAAAGAATTTCTGATAACACTGGGTAAGAGCAAGCAAGAACCCAAGCTCGTAAATGCTCAGACACCACCCAGCATACCCTGGCTGCATTCTGACCTCCACCAGCAGAAAGCTGCCTTGCCTCCATTACAGCCCATAAAGCCACACCAGCACAAAATCGATAGCATTGCATTTGATTTCTATTGGCGTAACTCCATGGGTTTTAATGGAGTTGGAGTTACACCAATTTTATGCTGGTGGATCTGCATTAGTGTCAGTGAA